GAGCTGAGATTAGGGAAGGAGAAAAGGGGAACCTCTCCTTGAACAGGACAGGTCTGGATCCAGAGGGGATGCTTGAAAAGGTGACATCAGTACTGCCAATGTCTCAAGGGTGGGAGCAGGGAGAGACATCATGAGGGATTTCTAACCCAAAGCCCCAGAGAAGGGACAGAGCTTTCCAGTGACTACCTAAAGGCCCCTGGTGGACAGAATGCCCAGGTCCGTACAACGAGGGCCTGCAAGGGAGTTTGTGATGCCCCCATATACCTTCCAGGTGCAGCCAAATGTGGCAGGGCATCACAGCAAGCAACTGAGCCATATCTCCAGCCACTTTCTCTATAATCAGATGTGTTGCTTTTCCCTCAATGAGTAGTACAAGCTTGAACAAAATTGATACCACAAAATTAATACCATGGGACAACCCATAACTGAATTAAGTGTGGAACCCTAAGTTATTGTTAGGACTCTAAGCATGCATTGAGTTATTCATTCTAATGTGGTTTTGATCAGCTGGAACTCCACCTTTATTCCCTTGTCACTTGCCACTAAGGTTATGCAGCAAAGGTTACCCTGGGACCAGAGGTGGCAGAGCTTTCAGTTTTGGTAACTGTCCAGAAGTCAAAGGGTGCTGTGCTGTGAAAGAGGACATGTCATTTCCTGTTCACTCTAGCCGTTGGCGATAGTGATGGAGAGGCCTATGGGCCAGAACTGAGCAGCTTTGAATCTCTTTCCTTAGTTTAGTAACAAACCAGATAATATTTGCAGGCAGCAGATTGTGATACGGCATTTCACAAACTGCCAAAAAATAAAATTAGAAGGAGTGACTTTTAGCTGGTGGCTTGAAGTGCGCCTGTGTCAGTTTGTGTATGAATATAGAGTGGTTGCTTCTTCCCTTCAGTGGAGTGTGTGTCTGTGTCTGTGTACAGACAAATGCACATCCAGCTTTAATATCAAAGGTTGCTTCAGGAGGTGGGGATGTGACTCATTTGGCAAAGTCCTGGATTCCATCCCTAGCACCATATAAACTGGTTGTGGTGGCACACACCTATAATAGCAGCACTCAGAAGGTGGAGGAAGGAGGACCAAGAGTTCAAAGTTATCCTTGGCTACATTGTAAGTTTGAGGCCAGCCTGGAATATATGAAACCCTACCAAAAAAAAAAAAACAAACAAACAAACAAAAAACAAACAACAAAAATCTTCTAAACAAACCAACCATTGCTTTAGTAGGTCCTTAGGAGACATAGTTACACTCTAATAAGTGATTTAAAATTTTTTTAATTTTATGTGTATGAGTGCTCTGCTTACATATATGTAAGTGCACCACATGCAGTGCCCATGGAGGCCAAAAGAACAGATGGGTGTTAGCTGCCATGTGGGTGCTAGGAACTGGATCTGGGTCTTCTGCAAGAGCAGCCAGTGCTCTTAACTGCTGAACTGTTGCTCCACCCCCCAATAAATGATTTTTAAAGACCAGAGAGTTGACCAGTGTGTTAGTGTACACCTGTAATCCCAACACTTAGGAGACTGATGCAATAAGATTGTGAGTTCCTGGCCAACCTCAGCTATATCGTGAGACCCTATATCCTCATATAAAATAAAGCAAAAGCTGGGGCCAGAGAGATGGCTCAGTGGTTAAGAGCATTGACTGCTCTTGCAGAGGATCTGGGTTCAATTCACAGCACCCATATGGTGGCTAACAACCTATAACTCCAGTTACTGGAGAATCCAATACCTTCCTCTTATCTCCACGGGCATTGCACAATGGTACACTTACATATATGTAGGCAATACACTAATACACATAAAATAAAAATAATAAACAAAAGTAAAGTAAAAGCTGGATGTGGTGGTGCACACCCCTAGTCTCTACTTGTTAGCGATGGAGGCAGGACGATCAGGAGTTCAACTCATCCTCAGCTCCATAGAGAATTCAAAACCAGTCTGTGCTCCATGAAGCCCTGTCTCAAAAAGCCCCAAATATAATTACTATAAGGTAAAAAATAATGAGCAGTAAGTTGTCTGGGAAGAGTTGTACTTAAGCCTGTTATAAGAAGAATAGCCCTCTGGCTTTCCTGAGTCCTGTCAGAGGTCACAGATTTAATTCTGCCACCTTCTCAGAGCTAGTGTTCTTACTTGGCCAGCCCTGTGCCTGCTGGCAGGGTTGAGGAGCCCAGGTGGCTCCTGGCCTTGAGCCCATACTGCCAATCAAGCTCTCCTTTCTTTGCTCTGCTGTGGTCCCCAATTCTTGACTGCCTCATAGAAGTTATCACGTGACCCTTAATCCTCTAAATGGGGCCTTTTTCTAATAAGACAGGTTCTGACTATTGTAGCACAGTTTCTGACCTCCAGTTTGTGATCTCCTGTCTCTGCCTCCCTAGTGCTGTCACCATGCCCAGGTGGCTTTTCATAAGCCACCTGAGTGATACGTGTGTCCATTAATACCATCTTTTTGTTGGAGTAGCCGCTGTATGCCAACCCCTTCCCCACACTTGGGACCAGTGATTGAATTCTTTAGCCTAGCGTGAGCCTTAGAGAAACCTGAGTTTGAATCCTACCTCTTCCAGCTCCATGACCTTGGACCAGTTTCCTCCCCTTGCTGAGCTGTGGGTACCCTTCTGTTCAATGTCAGAGTCTGAGATGTTGGGATCATTGGGAAAGGTTATGTCCAGCACAGAGCAGACACTCAGTATCCCAGACCTGGCCTCCCTTCTTCCCCCTCTTTGCTTCAGGCTTTGCTTTAGCTAAGCATTCTACAGGCTGGCTGTAGCTGCTTCCCATCCTTTCACCTGCTCCATCTGCTCTCAGCTTCCCAAAGCTTCCCAACTGCGAATCCTGTCTTTCCTTAGTCCCCAGGTCTGCAGTAGCATTCAGTACAAGGGACCCGACTCTTAGGAACTCCTGTGTTCAACTCTGTATATCCTGGCTCTCTTACTGTTATGCCTAAGTTCTTCAACCTCTCCTATTGGCCCTCAGACCAGGGACTCGTAATCTCTGACCCTCCCTCCCAGGAGAGCACTGCCTGTGCGGGGGGCCAGTCAATCACTTGGAGCTGTGGGCCACCCAACCCTGTGTCTCATCCCAACTGAGACTTGAAGTGGAAAATAGCCCACATACTGCTAACATAATAGCAAAACTGAATGTGAAATACCTCATACATTCACTCACAAATACACACATATATATACACACATGTGCATATATACACACATACAGTTTCGTTTTGTTGTTGTTGGGGTTTTTTTGTTTTGTTTTGTTTTGTTTTTGAGAGAGGGTCTCATATAAGCCAGACTGACCTTGAGCTGGCCTCTTGCCTCCATCTCCCAAGTGTAGGGATTAGACGAGTGTCCCACTGTACCCAACTCTCATTAAAAGTAGGGCTTGTGGCTAGAGAGATGGCTCAGCAGTTAGGAGTACTTGTTGCACTTACAGAGGTTCTGGTTTCAGTTCCCAGCTCCTACACTGGGTGACTCACAACTACCTGTAACTCCAGTTCTACAGAATCTGATGCCCTCTTCTGACCTCCAAGCAGTTACACATGTGTAGTACACATAAACGCAGGCACACACATATACACATAAATAATAAATAAAATAAATCTTTTTTTTTTTTTTTTTTAAGTAGGACCGTATAATCCCAGCACTTAGGAGACAGAAGCAAGAGGATCAGGAGTTCAAGGTTATCCTGAGCTACATGGTGAATTTCAGGCTAGCATGGACTACATGAGACTCTGTCTTAAAAATCAAACAAATAAAACCCTAAGTAACAGGAATCATTTTTCTATCATTCTTTGCTCTTTTCATTTGCTTTCCCTTTACTGTTATGTTGTCCTCTGTCTTCTGGAAAGGGTGGTGAGCTGAACAAAATAGTATTTTATTCCCTGTTGCTGCCGTCTGCTTAACACAACAGAAATCTATCATCCAATGTTGCTTGGGGTTGGCAATCCGGAACAGGATTTACAGGGCAGACTCAGAGGTGCCAGTAAAAGCTGCATTCCTTCTAGGAGATTCAGGGTGTTCTGTTTCCAGCCTGTGCCAGCAGTGCAAGGCTGCCTTTATTCCTTGCCCAGGACCTCTTCATCCTTCCATCTTTCTGACCTCTGCTTTTGTCCCCAGTCCCTTTACTGATTCTTCTCTGCCTCTCAACATTGGCCTCACTTGGATGATCCAGGGCCCTCTCTCCCCTATGTATGATCCCTAAGGTAGTCACACCTGCAGTGACTGACCCTTTACTGTGTCAACTCACAAGTAGCGGTATTTATGCAAGAAGAGTCTGCTAATTCAGCTGGTTGTGTTTTGTCATTGAACTTGGTGTAGAAATACACAAACTGTCAGATTCTCTAAGGAAATGAAAGTGCCACATAGATGAATGCAGCAAATTGTGGGCAGGAGAGTCAGCTCAGTGGGTAAAGTGCTCACAACATAAGCATGAGGGTCTGAGTTTGATCTTTAGCATCCACTTAAAAGTCCAAGTATGATGCCATGCATTTGTAACCCCACTACTTGGGGTGGGAGGGGGCATTGACAGGTGGATCCCTTGGACTCACTAGCTAGCCAGTCTTACTAAACCAGTGTACTGTAGGTGCAGTGAGACATCCTGTCTCAAGAAACAAGGCAACCAAGCATGGCACACACCTTTGATCCCAACACTGGAAGACAGAAGCAGATGGATCTCTGTGAGACTGAGGCCAGCCTGGTCTACATAGTAAGTTCCAGGCTAGCCAGGGCTATGGAGAGACCCTGTCTCAACCAGTCAATCATTCAGTAAGGCAGACAGTGATTAAGGAAGACATCTAACTGTGACCTACACACATACACTTGTAATCACATGTACACATGTACACTCAAGCAGCACACATGGGAGTTATACTTTGTTTAAAACAGTGTCTTGCTTTGGGATGGCTTTCTGTGGTTATAATACGTACAGAGTCTTTCTAGGAAGCCTAACGTTGCCCTTTTTCTCTTTCCTTCAATGGCTGTTTCCTGATCGCTCATCTCCATGCAGGATTTGCGCAAGCAGGTAGCACCCCTGCTGAAGAGCTTCCAGGGGGAGGTAAGCCTTTATGTTCCTCTGTACTTGGAACCATCTTCTGTTATTATTTACTGTCCTCATTGCTCTAATAAAATACCTGACAAAAGCAACTTGGGGGAGAAGTGTTTATGTGGCTCACAGTTTGAGGACACAGTCCATCATGTTGGGAAGGCATGGCGCCAGGAGTGTGAGGCAGCTTCTCACACTGCATCCACAGTCAGGAAGCAGAGAGAGATGAATGCTGGTGCTCAGCTCACTTTCTCCTTTTTATTCAGTCAGGACCCCAGCCCATGGGATGGTGCTGCCCATATTAAGGGTGGCTCTTCCCAGCACAGTTAACCTGATCTAGAAACTCCCTCACAGACATGCCCAGAGGTTTGTATCTATGAATCCCATATAATTCTAAATTCCGTCAAGGTAACAAACAATTGTGATTAACCATCAAAGTTGTCAATGCTCTTTGGGTTTTAGTTTTTTGACCTAAGGTCTTACTCTGTGACCCAGGCTGACTTGGAACTCACTATATAGCCTAGGTTGGACTCAAATCCATGATCCTTCTGCCTCAGTCTCCCAAGTGCTTGGATTATAGGCTTGAGCTACCATGCCCAGCTATTTCTCTTTTATTTATTAAGTGTCTTGAGCAAAAGACATTTGAGCAGATAAACCTGTGCTGTTGAACAAATCCCCCTCCTCCTACGGATCTTGTGCTTTCAATGGGCTGTTCTCCTCTGGGTCCTCTGTGAAAGCCCTTTTGCAGTGGAGCCTTCTTTGGGATGTGAAAAGTTAATGGAAGATTCTCGGTGCAAACTTAGTGCTGAGCTGTACTTTCTACAGTGCTCTCAAACCTCAGTTAGGAGGTCACTTTTGTGTCTTAAGCTAGCCTGAGTGGCTGCCACCAAAGGATTCCCTATGAAAAGCAGGTGGATAGGACAGCCTGGTGCTTTTGAGAGACTCTGGAAGTTGACTATGTCTGAGCCAAAGCTGGAAACACAGAGCCAGAGGGAAAAAGTCAAAGAAGTGTTTTTGGGCTCCCTGTAAGGGTTTTCTAGTAGAGTTTTCTGGAGAATTGAGTTTTCTGACCAAAGTGTTGTGGGTAGCAAGTCACCACAGATGTGTGCTGGGGCTGTCTGTCAACATGGATAGGGCTCACAAAAGGCTTAAAGGGAGGTGGCACCCTAGTGCCTTTCCAGCCCATGTGTAGAAATCAGGTTGATTCTGGAAGGCCAGAAGCTATACTATGTGGTTTCCTTCCTTACTCACCTCCCCAGTGATAGGGAAATGGGAGTCACAGTGACAGGTGGATGAGGACAGGGCAAGGGAGTTTCAGAACCTTCAAGAAAGCAATGTTGATACAGCCTTAGGGACTTTGTTTTTTGTTTGTTTGCGATAAGGTCTTATGTATTCCAGACGGGCTTTGAACTTGTTATGTAGCACAAGGATAACCTTGAACTCTTGATCCTCCTACCTCCACCTCCCAAATGGTAGGATCCCATGTGTGCACCACTCTGCCCAGTTTTATGTGGTGCTAGGGTTGGAACCCAGGACTTCATGCATGCTAGGTAAGCATAGTACCACATCCCCAGCCAATTAAGGACTTTCAGTTTTCCAGCTACCCACAGAGGACTCAGAAAATGTAAGGGGCGGGACAGGATTAGAGGGCATGAGAGGGTAGGTTTGACAAAGCATGAGCTGCTGCCTTTGATGGTCATGTAACTAGGAAGACTAGATTACCAAGCCACAACTCCTGGACTGGTGATGGCTATGCTGTGACAGAGGGACAGGAACACCTGAGATGCACCAGAAAGATGGAATGGGAAACAGGAGGATAGGTTTCTAGTCATTGGAAGGATCCTGGGCAAAGAGGGCACAAGTAGGGACTGTGGCCATCAATTGATGAGGATGTTAGCAGGAGGAAAGTGTCCCCTTGTCCCCCAGAGGGGAACCAGTAACCCAGGTCTCAGATGCACCAGAATAGTCTCTGCTTCAGGCTGTATCTCCAGACCTAAAAGATGATCAAAGCTGATACCACTGACTGCCCCCACTTGTTCTTGTCCAGCCTTGTGCTGCTCTGTGACTTTTTAGAGGCCTATGACTGAGAGTTTCTCTAACTGGAAGAACTCAACAAGGTTTATATGTTTTTCTTTCATTTTGAAAAATTCAGAGCTACAGGAAAGAAGGCTTCTTTTCCTTCTTTCACTAAGAAGCTTAGTGCAAGGAGCACCTTGTAACCTGTACTCCATTACCCAGAATCCTACTCCATAGCATTTGGTGCATCTGCTCCCTAACCCAGCCTTTGCTGAATATTTGAGAATATTAGGGCTGGGATGGCGCTGTACCTATAACCCATGTTCAAGTAGTGTCCTGTTTTTCCAAAATTACCACAGTAATCACCAGTCTCCCGCTTAAAGAAGTAGCAGGAGTTCCAGGTTATCTAATGTTTATCTAAAATCAAAGAGCCCCAATGAGGTCAAGATGTCTTTTTTACTGGTGGTACTACATACTGAAAGTAGAGCCTCACACATGCTAGGCAAATGGATCTACCCCAGAGCTACACCCCCAGACCCTCACTGGGAGATTCTAGGCAGGTGCTCCACCACTGAATCATTCCCCCAGCCCCTCACTGGGGGATTCTAAGTAGGTGCTCTTCTGTAGAGCTACACCCCTATCCCTCCCCCAGAATTTGTATACATTACTTTTCCCCATGAATTCTTCCAAAAGAAAACACAAAACAGCAAAATCCAGATGTTTTTAAACAGCAAAGATTTCCCATAGACTTTAGGTTTTCTACAATAATTTGTTTGGATTGTTGAACAGCATGAGGGGAAGCATTGACTCACCAGGGCACCTCTTAATGCTTTTTGGTGCTTTCATACAATTCTCAGGACAAGGTCTAGACACCCGCTTCCCATGGTCCCAGAGACTTGCCTGATGCCAAAGCTACTTACCTCCCTAGATACCACTCTCTGCTCACTGCCTGTCACCCCACACAGCATTAGCCCTGAATGTATGTCAGGCCCCTGAAGGCATCCATCTTCCTTGCCTGCTGCCACCCTTTTATAAAACCCCTGCTCCTGAAACATCCTCCCCACCCTCCACTTTTCCTGGCTCCCTTCCTCCTGGGCAGCCCTGTCTCAAGGGAGACTTCCTTTCCCCCCACAGACTGGCTGAAGTAGGCTAGGTTCCCCCTATCTACGTCATGTGTTGCTGTTAAGATGAAAGAGGATCAGGAACATCTTTAGAATAAATCAGTAATAACCGTTGTCTTTGAAAAGTTTGAAATTTTATAATCATAATGATTATATGTAATTATTATGGAAAAGTCATCAAATTTAACTCATGTTGAAATTTTGATTGATTGATTGATTGATGTACCTAATTTTCTCTTTCAGCCCAGCCAATTAATTGGGAAGGGAGGTATACCTTAGTATTTAATCCACATTGAAGCACATTCTACTCTAACAGCCATTTAAACAACCCCTCACAGCCAGGCCTGGTGGTGCACATCTGTAACCCCATTACTAGGGAGACCGAGGCAGGAAGATCTCATTCAAGACCAGTCTGGGCTACATAGTAAGTTTCAGGGCAGCCTGAGCCATAGCAAAACCCGAGCCATAGAAAAAACCTCTCTCACGCACACACACACACACACACACACACACACACACACACACACACACACACACACACACACAATCCCTGATTGAAGTAATGTGCTTCCTAGGGAAAATGCAATTTCTAGAATTTTCTCCCCTCTCCCTGTTCTCTCTGAGAAAGGCTCTGGCTTGGAAAGTACAAGGCCAGGAACTGTTTTAGACAGTGCTCATAGGAAACTTGTGATGAAATCATCTTAGGAAAATTTTCAAGATCTTATATTAGAGGGAAAATCATACCATGGGAATCTTAAGCATCAACTTTCAAAAAGTACAGCCATGTAAGTTCATATAGGAATAATAAGCATAATTATGGCCATTCATAATAGATTGAAAAACAGAACAGAAATGAGTGAAAAGGTAAAGAACTAAGAATGAAACATACTCAAAGATAGTTCTTTTTAAAAGACTCATAGTTGACAAACCATCTTACTAATCAAAAAAATTAAAACAATGTTAGGAATAAAAATGAACAATCATCTTGTTGTTGCAGCAGACTCAAAGATGTAAGAGAATGCTGTGAACAGTTTTATTTGCATAAATTTTTGAGGTCTTTTGTTTTGGTTTTGGTTTTGCTTTGTTTTGTTGGTTTTTTGAGACAGGGTCTCACTATGTAGCCCTATCTGGTCTATGTAGACCAGGCTGCCCTCAAGCTTACAGAGATCTGCCTGCCTCTGCCTCCCAAGTGCTAGGATTACAGATGTGTATCACCAAACCTGTCTTATTCCCACTAAAAAAAAAAAAAAAAAAATTTTTTTTTTTTTTTTGTCTTTTTGTGACAGGGTCTCCCTCTAGCCCCACCTGGCCTGGAACTCACCCTGTAGACCAGGCTGGCTTTGAACTCGCAGAGATCCTCCTTCCTCTGCCTCCCCACTACTGAGACTAAAGGTGTGTGCTACCACCCCCAGCTATTCCCATAAATTTTAAAACAGATAGAATGAGCCCACTTATCAAATCATGTAACCACCAAAACTGGTTAAAGAAAAAGAAGAAAACTCAAATAGTCTAGTAACTAATATAGAAATATGCTCACAGTATGTTTTAGAAACTCTCTCCCTGGGGAGACATTAAAAAGTCTACCCCTTCCTACTCTGCCCAGGACAAAGCAAAGTACAATTTCACCAAAGCCCAGCATGGGGACCCAGTTAATTGGGTTGAAATCATGGGTAAGGGATTATTTAGAGATGTGTGGGTGACCCCAAAACAGCTTTATCACCAAAAAGTCTCACCCCAGTATGGACAGCACCCTCCCCATATGGGTTAGATGGGGTCTTCTCCTCCATTAACCTTCCACACTCTATATATTATAGCAGCTCTTGAGATCAGGAACCCATGTGCAGTTCAGTCAGAATTACATGCAAATGGCCAGCA